GGTAGTCGACCACTAGCTTACATTGCTCTCTCCTAACAACGGTAGTCAACTTTAGGTTTTCCAATAGTTAACTAATGACAATTCCAACACTTAGGAATCTTGAAAATTTTAGTCCAAAGGTTTAGGGAACTTTTTTGTGGATTTTCAAAAATGATTATTAACATTTTAAAACTTGTTTTTTAAGTCTAGAAAAGCCTAAGAGCCCAACATATTCTAACCAATGATCTCTAAGATTGATTCAACCGAGTTTAGTCTTATTGAGCTCAATGTGTTGTTTATCTCAAGCAAATAATTACATTAATAATCTAAAAAGAATAAGAAACTTTAACTTATGGACTTGATGCATATGCTCTTCCCCGTTGAGTTGATGTAGCAAGACTTTAAAGATTGCTCATTTCCTTCTTGTTGTTTGCTGTTCTTTATCTTGCTTGGTGCTTCCATCTTCTTTTTGCAGAGGTGATGATGATGTCCAACTGCTTACAAGTAAAATCTCCCATTTTTTATCATGATATGATTAGCAGGATTATGGTACAGATAAACTTACTTGAATTAACTATAATTTTAGCACAACATTAGTACTCTTAATGAATTTGTTGTCATCAAAACATATAAGGTCAACAGTGTTTTCTATGAGTGAAGACAAAGCTTTGGGGCCAAACAAATTTTTGATATGGGCTTTTTAACATGAAGTAGCTTGTAAGTTTGCGAATAATATTCATTGTGCCTTTATAAAAGGAAAACATATAGTTAATTGTGTCCTTATAGCAAAAAGGCTTATGATAGGGTGGATTGTGGGTCTTTGTAGAATATCATGATGATCACTAACATCTTAGATGTTTTTATGGAGAAATCAGTCTATAATAACTTTGTTAAGGGCTTTAAAATAGGAAGAGAGAGAGAGGAAGTATGGTCGTCCAGGCATCCACAGTATATATAGATGATACAATCATCTTCTTGAGGCTAAAAAGGAGTATCTCAAAATTTTGAGGATCTTAAAATGTTTTATGGCAGTTACAAGGCTTAAATGCAACTTAGGAAAGAGTAGTACTACAAGTATAAATCCGTCTTGGAGGAATTAAGAGGTTATTTGACTACAAAATTGAATTGGCCAATAAAGTATTTGAGAATGCCCTTGGTAGGA